TCTGTGATTCTGTGTGATTCTGTGATGCAGAGAAGATCACAGCGCTTGGGTTTCTCTGTAAATAGCCCTGTGGAGTTCAGTGGGCTCCCGAGGAGCGTAAAGCCCAGTTCAGCGTGAGCAGAGGCTCCGGAGCCTCCCCTTGGTGCTCAGAAGGTGTGCAAAGATCGTTGGGATGAAAGAACCCATATAAATGCAAAGAGACTTTTTTATTGCTAGGCATCGCGTTAGCTCGCTAGCTTCGTGTGACGGTAATGTGACAGGGTTTCTGATACGACATCCTGCTTTGCTTTGCTTTCTGAGAGCTATACCTGCAAATTTTTTTCTTTTTTTTTTAAAGATGGAGTTATTTTCCAGAGAATGAATGTTTTTAACAGAGTTTGAATTCCAGAATGAAAAAAAAAAAAAAAACTATCTGGAGGCTTTTGCAGAATCCTAAAGTACTTACTGTTTTGTGTCTGTGGGTGTGAAGGATACTTTAAGGAATCTATTACTCCTCTCTTGTTCATTTACAAACACAGCACGGTCACAGCCTTCTCACCGAAATGTTTCAAATTGTTGAAATTGAATTCGGAAGAAGAGACAAAATAGTTTTCCCGTGTTTGTCTGTTCTTTCTGTGGCTGGATCTGCTGTGGGTCTTATTTTTTGTCAGTATAATGCAGAAAAGCAGCACAGGATTCTCTTTGCTTCTAAGGTCCGCTGCACCTGGTGGGACCTGGGCTAACCATCCTGACTGTGTTCCCTGCCAAAATCTGCAGTGGCTGCACCTGGGCTCCCCTCCAGGTTCCTCGGAGGGCTGGCAGGATGGAGAGGGTCCCCAGCAGGGAGGGGACAGCAGCAGCCCCCTCCCAGCAGGTCAGGGCTGGGCTGGGTGCTGGAGCAAGGTGCTGGGACGCTGCTGGAAAGGGAGCGTGGCTGCAGGACATCGCCCTTGTTTGGGAGATGCACGTGAACGCCTTACGAGCCGCGTGTGGCTGAGGAAACGGGTTTGTCTGTCTGTGATCGCTCCTGATGTCCTCCAGCTTCTGGGGTCCAGCATTCAGTCCCGTCAAAGGGAAGGACACGAAGCCTCTGCAGCCACGCCGCTGGCATACGTCATCTTCTGGAAAAGCCTCTCTGACCTTGATACTTGGCTTAAGTCCTATTTTTCTAGGTGTGAATTCCTTCCAGAACATAACTTGGGCTTGTTGTTTTCAAGTCCTTCACCTACA